TAGCATGTGTTTGGAAGTTTCTTTCAAATTGCCAGCCGTTTACAGTAGTCAACAATCTCCAGTCTCCACTATGGTGCAATACCGCCGGTGTACCGCAAGGTAGATTAAGCCGCTACAATTCCTGTTATATATCAATGACCTCCCTAATAACCTAGCTTCGCGTGTGCGACTGTTAGAAAATGAGTGCATTTTATCCTTTTTCCAGTTCAGATGGCCATCACATTAAACAGAACGATCTCGTGCTTAATTGCTGTTGGTGTAAAACTTGGTTCATTACTATGAAGTCATCTAAATGCAAGGTCATCTTTTTTACCCGAAAACACTCAGTTCACAATTTTTCTTGCAACATAAATGACAACCTGATTTTTTGTACCACTAAATACAATTACTCAGGAATTCTTCTTACGTCACGTTCATATGTGCTAATGCGTCAAAGCCACTGGGGTACTTACGTTGATCCCTGCGAAATTATCCTGCGTATTCCTAAATTTATACTATGCAACTAGTTTTCCTACCATTTGCATCAAGCAAGGGTGGGAAATTCGAAAGTCCTGAATAAGCTTCGAGCTACTTTCTAGAATTGAGTAGAAGAACAACCTATAGCACAGATTTATTCAAACTAAAGACTGTGAGCTATTTCGCAAATTTAAATCAAGCCGTAATCACTTGGAATAAGGTAATAAATAAAGCTAGGCTTAGCTACTTTGCAAACTATCTCATGCACTGTATGCTCTGAGCTTATGCGGAAAAGGCTAAACACTGTCTTAAAAGTAAACGCCACTCCTGAAAACATCACGAAATTAGAGATAAATGGGTAAAGAGCTCTCAGGTACACTACTTGCAAACGCTTTTAATAAGCAATTTGTTAGCGTCTCGTTGGGCAATAAAATGTAAGTAGTGTTCCTTGCATTACAAACACAATTTTTTGAACCCTGTAATGAGCCTAAAGTAATTGATATAAGTCATCACCTAAATACGATTACCTAAATACCACAAAACCTACAAAGCATGTATTTAATCTTCTAGCCCCTCTTCTTTCTTACATTTTTCAACTTATGTCTTTCCCGCGGAATGCAATTTGCACGTGTGACACTGTTATTTAAGTAAAATAATAAAATGACATGGGTATCTATCGCCCTATATCTATTCTTCCGGTATTTTCAAAATTACCTGATAAAATAATTTTGAATCGATTTACTGAATGTGAAGGAAAACATAACTTTATAGTACCGTTCCGATTTGGTTTCCGCAAAGGTCTTAGCACTAAACTGGCGTTATTGGCTGAAAAAGACCTAGTAATAACAGCATTTAACGAAAGTAAATTAATCCTAGCAATTTTTATAGAGTTTGCCAAAGCATTTGATCTTATAAATCATACCCTTTTATTAGAGAAACTGTTATGCTAAACCTACCACAGCAAAGTGGCATAGCTAATGAAATACTACCTACAACATCGTATCCAGCGAGTTGGCATAAACCAGGATCTCTCTAGTGCACTCGTCGTGTCTTCAGGTGTGCCACGAGGCAGTATCTCAGGCCATTTCTTTTTTTAATCTCTATATTATAGATGTATTAACATAAACATTCGAGCAAAATATTTATTTCAGGCTGATGATACTAGCGAATTTTTATTATGAATTTCAGTTGATGAATTAATGGATGAAGCCAACTTAACCTTACAAAAGTTAGACAAATGGGCAAGTCAAAACAGTTTCAAATTAAAATCAAGTAAAAAAACAATGTTGTTTCGCAGTAAAAACAAAAAAAAAGATTACGGTTAATAAAAATATAACACTAAACTCCTCACCCATCGTCCTCGTATCCAGTTTTAAAACATTAGGCGGCGTCTTTCAGGAACCATGATGCTGATCTGCACATATCAATTGCCTTGTATCAAAGCTATCTCAAATGATTGATATTGTTTAGCACAATGATCATATACTGCCACAGAATGTTATGATGCTAATATTCAACAGTTTTTATATGATATGTGGGGCATAACGACCTAAAAACACGATATGTATATGAGAGACGCGGTAGAAGAAAGCTCTAGAAAGTTCGACCACCTGGGGTTCTTTGACGTGAACCCAAATCTGAGCACACGTGCCTACAGCATTTCCGCCTCCACCGGAAATGTAGCCGCTGCAGCCAGGATTTGATCCCACGACCTGCGGATCAGTAGCCACTAGACCACTGCGGGAAAGCTCAACAGTTGGTATCAGTCCAGACTTAATTACTGTCAATTAGTTTGGGGCACCACTACTCAAGAAAATCTACACAGAATACACGTCTTACACAAAAAGTTCCTACGCAAGATTGAAAACGCCTCAAGTCATTTCCACACACGCGAGTATTTTTTTTTTAAATATTGTATACACTGTAATAAAAATTACTATGAGGTCGGAGTAAAACGCTTTTCTTCTAGTGACCGTCCTACTCGGAGTAATATTTGCTCTGGACGTCCGGAGAAAAACTTTTGCTCGGCTCGCCAGAAGAGTTAAGTGGCGCACCCGAAGCACTTTCGAAAGATATTTCACTGTGGTCGACCGGAGCAATCGCGTGGCACCACCGAAATACTTTCTACTGGCATTTTCCTCCAGCTGGTCGGACAGATTACGTGGTACCTCGGGAGCATTTTTCCCAGGTTTTTCGCTCCGGCTATCCCGAGCTTTTGTGTGGTATTTCCGGACTGTTTTACGAATGCACTTACTTCGTCTGGACAGAATTACTGTAAGGTGGACCAGGACCTTATTAAGGTGTTTACTCCGCTACTTAATTATTGTATGCTGATAGTTTCACGCATTGGTTACACGAAGGAAGTCCCTCTTATGCTATCACTGCTGAAGTATTGTGTATTTTTTCCACGGAGCTCTAGCAAATGGAATCGAAAGAAACCCCGCAGTTCTTTTTTTTATTTGTTCAAAATAGGCTGCCGATTTTGGACACCAAGCATTTAAGAAAAGGAGACAAAATAAACAAACATGCAGAAAAGCCGCCACGAACAAAACACAATAAGACAGATCACGTGAAATCAACAGCACTCAAGTTTGAAGCGCAGCGTTTCAAAATGAACCCCATATTGCTGCAAAACGATGCACGACAAACGAAGAAAGCGTGGCCACCGAGAATAACTCTTCACCATTCCCGAAGGACCATCCATCATTGATGACGCAAGGGTTGAGCTGATTGCTTCCATTATAATTTAGCAAGAAAAGAATCATACTTGAGAACTGCAAACATACGAGAGATACGGAAACTGAGAACACTCAAGCCACGGACACTATACAGCCTGTGAGTCTATGAGAAGAAGCAACTTCTAAGACTGAACACACACACACACACACACACACAAACACACACACACACACACACACACACACACACGCACGCACGCACGCACGCACAAACAAACAAGCAAACACACACACACACACGCACACACACACACACACACACACACACACACACACACAGAGGATGAGCGTTCAGTATCAAGTAATACGGTGTGGGACAGCCGCAACATGATAAAAACACACCTCCCTGACGAGATCAAAGTTCAAAACAGGCCAACGTTTCTACATATTTATAAATCGATAGCTCTACCTTTGCTTAAACATTCAAAAGCAATTCTTGACTAAAATTATCTTATTTCGGTACTCTTGTAGACGGCATCGGCAATGCCCTTCCCAGTAATTTCTTAATTTTCTCAAATATTAACTTTGATTATAACAGTCGCATTTTATTGCGTGCTCATCGTCATACTTCTAGCAAAGTAGGCCCTTACAGTTTGCATGGTTACGGCCTGGCTTTAAGGAAAGGCGAGCTTTATCTCCTGCCCCGCCACGGTGGTCTATAGGCTAAGGAACACGGCTGCTGACCCACAGGTAGCGGGATCGAATCCCGGCTGCGGCGGCTTCATTTCCGATCGAGGCGGAAATGCTGTAAGCCCGTGTGCTCAGATTTGGGTGCACGTTAACGCACCCCAGGTTGTCGAAATTTCCGGAACCCTCCACTATGGCGTCTTGAAGTGCTGAAAGAGCAAGATGATGTATCAAAGTATATTCTGCGCATATAACCATTGTAGGAATAGGAAAGTATGGACCAATACTCAGTTCATAGCTTATGGTTTTTCATTGTATTTTGTGGCGGTACTTTGTGATGCCCTCGTATTTTCTCGAATATGTAAAATGTGAAGAGTCTTGATATGCCAGGTAGGTAAAGGAAATAAAAAGTGAGCGAGGCGTAGTGGAGAGGATTCCTGACATCTGATATCGCGGACCCAGGGGTCAATGGTCGAATCGGATTTTTCTTTGTCTTTTGATCGTGTGGATTTTTCGACGTCACTTCCGCGACAAAAATACATCACTGAAATCTCGATTGACCCCGGCATAAAACAATTGTGTGTTAAAAAGGTATTTAAGAAACGCATAAATGTCATCATAGAACGGCAATGTAAAATCGCACAACTAATTACATCTTTTTTTTTCGTAAAGCAACGAATTGTGCCTGTTCATATATCACAAGGATGGAGGTTCTACCGAGTCTCGGCAAAAGCCTAAGAATCAGAATTGGCTCAATCGCAAAGTAATAGGGGTCAATCTAATAGGCCTTGGTTCCGACTGCAGTATAAGCATTTTGCCGCATCTGCCTAATGATAATGAGATCGACTTCGTAAAAAAGGGAATTTTTGCTGTATGATGTCGCCTAAAGTTATCCTGCCTTTTTTTCTTTTTTTTAATATCCGAATAAAGGTCGTTGTCAGTTTATTTACAACCCGTGAGCTGATCTAGGGTTCTTTTACTGGCAAAAGTGAAGGGTGAAGTGGGTAGAAGGGTGCAAACAGGTGGGGAAAGCAAATGGGTTTTGTGCGTGGAAATTCTCCCATTTTTTTCTTAGAAATGATGCGCTCTTGTTAGTGCTATTTTCGTACTGTTTTCTTCTCACGCTCTACAGCGCTATTCACAGTCCTCCATGTTCCACAACTCGCTGCTCCTTCCCAGGCTGGGAGTACTCGGCGTTCGTGTTCTGCATCGTAAACAGCGTGGCGTTCGCCTTCATCGCCTACGCCTACCTCACCATGTTCGTCGCAATCACGCATTCCAAGGTGGGCCTACGCTCCACGCAGCAGCTGCAGGATCGAGCCATCGCCAAGCGATTCGCCTTCATCGTGGGCACCGACTTTCTGTGCTGGATGCCAATCGTGTTCATCAAGATCATCGCTATAGCCGGTACGTGAGCCTGTGAACTCCACGACGCCCGAATTGCGTTTTCGCAATCTCATCGCGATCATTTATTGACCCTAAAGGCCCTTCACGGGGATTAGTCAAGGGTGTAGGTGGGGGAACAAGAACATCAATCTTTAAAAAAAAAAGACACTGTGAAACAGCGTATGGAAGCCTGTGCATGAGGTTCCAGGGGCTCTCTCAAGCTGTCGATGATTCTCGCCAGATTCTCCGCATGCCAAGGGATGTATGCAGACTTCAGTGGCGTAGCCATGCCCTTCCATTTTTTATTTTTATTTTGATGGCATACAAATTAGAAAATCACACTCAATGACATATGCCTGCGTGGCCCACACTCCGAATCAAGGATATGTCGCACCCAAAAAATTCTGTCTACGCCCTTGGAAGACATTCCTTAATGACCTTAGCAAGAAAATACAAAAATGGGCATGCATGGCACCATTTGAGCTACCCCCGAAGGATGCTGGTTGGAGACAGTGTTCTCTGCAGAATTACATCATAAAACGAGAAATGATTCTGAAATATCCTCAGCTGAACAAGTTATTCTAATAAAAAACAAAAATTACGGCTCACTTTTTTACCCTAATTTAACTAGGTTTAGAGTTCGAAGCACTTGCTCGGACCAACTCTCAGTAGTCTCGTACTGTTCATTGTTGTAATATCTACGGCACATTACCTCTTTTTCTGCTAACGAATATGTCCTTGCCGTATTCAAATGAAGGTTTGTCCACGCGTGCGACAAGACATTGTCTCTTGATGAGAAATATGGCGCGCATAAACTACCCACTGAACGATTGCACTGCGAAAGCATCGGCCTTGCCAGCTAGACGTTTGTCCGTGTCTCGTGTTACAACCATTCACATCACCCCAATTTTCCCAAAATTGCGGCGCCGTTTTGTGATCTTCACCGATTCTCTTTGCAGGAACAAAGATCGACGAGACGCTGTACGCTTGGGTCGCAGTGTTTCTGTTGCCTGTGAACTCGGCGCTCAACCCCGTCTTGTACACACTCACCACGCGAATGTTCAAGCAGCAGCTGAACCGGTTCCTGGAGAACTTGCGCCAGTGTGAGCGGGTACCTTCGTACCGACAGTCCGGCCAGTCGGGCCAGTCGGGCCAGTCGTGGTCGTCCATTCCCACGGTGCGGGGCCAAAAGAAGACGATCGTGACTTCACTTTCCGAAGTGAGATGCTCTCATTACTCACTCATTCGGAGTTCATTGCTTGAGGCCTGCGAAAGCTGCAACAACGTACTGTGGGACAGGGGTCAGAGATGTTTCCAGAATTACTCTAAATGAATCACGTATTAGTCCTATACTCGCATATCGTGCTAGCACTACATGCACAATTAAAACTCGTGCCTCATCAGGAGGAAACAAACTCACAAGCTTCCTTGCACATTGCCCTAATATTACTCAAAGGCGGAAGCATTATTTAAGTTTCGCTGTAAAAAATAAGCCTCCGCCATCCCCCTCTAATATCTCTCTATATCTCGGCTGGTTCTGCAATGTTTCCATGATTGGAGCTCCTTTGCCGAGGCGACGACGTTATCAGATGACGTTACCATGTGAAGTCTCGTTACAAACTGACGTCCTGATGACGTCATAGACTTCGGCGTTCTGTGACTTCCTGATAATAACACAGAGGCATGTCGCGTGATGATAACTTTAATGCGTAATTTACGCCAGGGTTCACCAAAAGTTTAGTGATGTATTTCTATCACCGATATGACGCTGATAAAAGTAACTCATCAAAATGAGAAAAAAAAATACCTTATGAAAAACTACCTCTTCCGGGATTCAAACCTTTGAATGCTCAGCCCGCGACGATAAGCGCCCGGAGCTCCACCCACTAAGCTATACGAAGGCTTTTTATATTTATTTCATAGTATTTATTATAATGCATATTTAAAATTGTAGCTTCGACGTAGTGATAAATTCACTTAGCGACAATGTTTGCAGAACTACTGCACAAGAATTCATAGGCTTACGTTGAGATGTATACTTAGCAAGTCCAGAAAAAGAGGAAAATAGGCACATAGCTACTTTGTTAGAAACGCGCGTGATATATTTCACGCATTCTCTCATGCTCTCTGCTGCTGTTTTGGAACTCTGCAGGGCGCAGTACTCTTTTGGTGTATAAGACGAAGGAGTAAACGATCCTTCTGCATTGTGAGCGCTTTGCTGGTGCTATGAAAAGTGGCTTTCACTAATTGCTAGTATTTGGCAATTTCTCCAAAGAGAAAGACTGCAGTGAAATTGGCATCCGCTTCTGAGTAAGGCGCGAGCGTGGCCCGGCAATTAAGCCCACTGGACACGGTACTGGTCACTTCATTATTCCCCGAGACCCACGTGTGTGAGGGACCATCTGTCGTCTGGTGCGCAGTTGTGGTCACTGTTTCCTAAAATTTCATACTCTGGGTATCGGGTGTACCCTCTCCCAATATTTTTACAGTCACCTCGCGAGTCAGTGGTGATGACTCTCGAATGCCGGTGACAGGTTGCAAGAGCAGTGGCCACTTCCGCAATTGTTGCCTCTCACGTTTTTGAAAGTTAGGCTGCCTATTACTGTGTTTTGCTGCCCACCACGGCCGTGTACTATCCCTCATGATATGAGCGGGAGGCGTCCGCCTAAAGAACACTGTGTTTGCCGCAGAGTGGTGCGCAAGAGATTTCGCTGTTGCTAGACGCTGACCAATATGGTTTTCTCGTGCTATGTTCTTTGAAAAAGGGCGTGCGCCGACGGCATGTCTCAGGACTTCCGGGAGGCGTAAATGGTCTTCGTTTCCTGTAGGTTGTTGAATGAGCAGTAGAGTAGGAACAAGGTGTCCTGATTGTGTTTTTGAATAAATCTTCTATTGATTCGTTAGTTGTGCTTCCCTGAGTTCTTAGCAGGTGCTGGTCATTCATATATGCCAAGTAGGCACTTTTATCGGAAGGTCGTAGGCTCGCTTGCTTATTTAGAGATAAACAACTTCAAAAGCCTTTTTGTCGGATTTGCGAAGGTGTAGATAGTGGGTAGAGTTCAGAACGCGTCTCCTTACGAAAACACCCTCCAGCCGCAAAACGTCTTTGCATCGTATGATATGCCACGTTTGTTTGAAACCCCTATTCGGCAGCCTACTTGGTCGCTCAACTTGCCCAGGTGGTGAGGGTTGTGTCTTTAGCGGTGAGCTGCAATCCCTGTCCAGTAGCCTTTGTATCGTCCTTGTCTCGTCATCCGCAGCACAACTAGAAATTTATGTCAATTAGGTCTATAATTCAGTCCTTATCCTGCTCGGAGATGGGTCCGTATGCGAGGAATAGTGCAATATTATAGATCTATACACTTCTGTGTGAGACGATTGTGTACAAAGTCCAAATTTGTGAGGGAACACAGAAGGCAATGACTGCGGTGAGCGTCGGTTTCTACGATTTCTACCGCTTTCTGCGAGTTGGTTTCCATTTCACCTACCCAACCTTGTTTAGTCGGAATCGGGGTGCTGCCGGCATCATACAAGACGCCCTGCACTTGTGCTTACTTTGTAGGTACCATAGTAGACTATATCACACACACACAAACACTCACTCACTCACTCACTCTCTCTCTCTCTCTCACACACACACACAGGCCACACACACACACACACACGCGCGCGCGCGCGCGCGCACATAGAAAGGACCAAGTATCAACTGTGTTTTATTAAAAACACGGCAATGTTCTCGCGCAAAGAATTCGAACAGAAACAAAGAATATTTGATTTAGCGGCTGGCGCTCGAGAAATTTAACTCAGTGGCATAACAAACAAAGGACTCCACCACGGAAGTGTCAACAGATTTGTTATTAAAAAACACGTCCTCAGTGTTTCACGCAACTATCTTTTAAAATCTTGAGTAGCACTTTAGCTTCAGACATCCAGGACACGCAACCGAACTCTTTACAGAGTAACTACAGGATCGAACATTGTCTTCCCCACAATGAAACCTTGTGATCTAATAGTCTGTTATATAAACGTAGCTTAAATAACGCTGACACACTTTCTCTATCACAATACACTTAGTAGAACGACAAAACATAAGTTTTCGCGGTTATTCATATGCATCACCGACTTTATTCAGTACGTGGCATTAATGTTTTTCTTTAATTTCATCACAATTCTATTTGCACTTGACGGTTCATGAATACTTGTGCTGTCCATGAAAAAATTTAATTGTATGACTTTTTTTCTTTCTCGCAGTACACCTTCGGGAAGAAAAAAACCTCGAGCGTGGTGTGCTATCCGCTGAAAAATGGCGTGATATTGCCGCTACGGGCCACCCAATCATGCACGGAAAAGGTGAGTGATAATGCTTTCCTCAGCTTCTATTTCGATATTATATTTGCTCAAGAGCCGTGCCTATTGAATCTCAGCGATGGTTATTAACACAACTCTTTATCATGGAGTTACGGAATCGGCGGCCAATTGCAGTAGTAACAAAAAAGCTCGTCTTGTTTAGCTGTCAAATATATTTCATTAGCATTTATCGTGTAGAACGCATGTTTTAGGCTCACGTCGCGTTTTAAGCTTGAGAAGGTCTCCCTTCTTTAGGACTCGCAATATTTACGGCGTGGTTGTCTTATAGGCTACTCTGGGACGCAGTAGTATTCTAAAAGAACTACTTTCCTTGCGATAGCAAATATATGAACACTCTCGGTGGGATATTGCCACCATCGTCGGCACCATTTACCGTATAAGTATACGTATCTATTTCCATGAAAACGCAAGAAAAAAAATGGCAGATCCCACGTTCAGTGGGAATCGATGATTTGCGAAGCATGAATGAGAAATGTTTATATGTCATTTTAAAATCAGCACAACGTTATGAGGTGGAGGTAAATGATGCCGTAAATGACTTCCGTATCATGATTATCATGTTTGGATGTGTTGTTTACCTTCGTCATCTATTCACGTCACGTGTAACCAAACTTAGTATATGTGGAGCTAGCGAAACGGCCGCGAGCACGCTACGAGTGTGATATGTTGTCATGTTCTTACATGACACGCGGGTCAGGATTATCATGCATTGCACGAGTCATATATTTCGGCATTATTGACGTCACGTAACACCAAATTTGGTATATCTGGAGCTAGCAAAATGGCCATCAGCTCATCATGAAGGGCTTAATATACTCCAACGTAGCGTTGACGCGCGCGCACGCTGGGCAGAGCGACGCTACATTAGCGAAACGCGAGCTTTCTATAGTCTGACGCCAGGCGTGACCAGCGTCCGTCGGCGTAAACCGACGGCCACCGGGGCGAAATGCGACATGCTGCATTTCGCGCCAATGCGTTACCCAGACAACACTGTGTCTCCCTCTTTTCGTGACGGAGGGACGCCAGACGCACTGAAACGCACATGCGTCAAAGGAACGCAGCACGGAGCGCGCCTGGGAGTGTATGGTAAGACCGGTGCCTGGCGTGGCAACGGTGACGTGACATGACAAAATGAACGCCAGCGAGCACGCGCATCACGTCACGTCGACATGAACTGGTGAATTGACTGAGGCAAGTAGTCATGTTCTCACATGACACGTGTCTCATGATTATCATCTTCGAACCAGTCATATATCTTCGTCAGTCATTGGCGTCACGTATGAGCAAATTTGCCTAATGTGAAGCTAGCGAACGGCCACGAGCGCATTATGAACGTAGCATGTAATGACAGGCATCTCATGTTTATCATGTTTGCACCAGTATCATACTTTCGTCATCCATTCACGTCCCGTAATACCGAATTCGTTATAAGTGAAGCTAGCAAAACGGCCGCCGCGCATCATGAGCGCCGCATGTAGTCATGTTGTTGCATGATAAGCATATCGTAATTTTCATGCCATAACATGCCAGTTTTACGACATGCCTTGTGAACGAAACCACCCCAAGAGCTACAGGGCCTTGAAATGTAAATCATGACATTGATGACATACATGTCACTATTTTCATGTTATGACTAATCAAATACGTTCTACAGTCATGTTAGACCATGAAATGTAAATCATGACATTGATGACATACATGTCACGATTTTCATGTTATGACTAATCAAATACGTTCTAAAGTCATGTTATGCCATACCAAGTTTGGTATCAACACCATTATAGAAACCATTAGGAGAGCTAAAAGTCGTAGGCGGATAGATAGATAGATAGATAGATAGATAGATAGATAGATAGATAGATAGATAGATAGATAGATAGATAGATAGATAGATAGATAGATAGATACGCTCAAAGTCGCCGAACTTCGCTAAGAAATGCTTCGCATTAAAAAAAAAAAAGTCACAGCTTTGCCGGAAAGGTGCAATGAATGCGATGGCAACAAACTCGAAGGTCACGCGCAGAATGACAAGCAGGTCGAAACGTCCCCCACGTTTCTCACGCACAAATGAAGCACAAAACACAAATGAACGCGAATAAGCGTCTGAGTTGTTACTTCGCTTTGTCTGAAAACCGCACCGTTTTCGCAAACAAAGATTGCGCAGTGAGCGCAGTGGCCATTTTGCTCCCGGTAACTACAACAGAATCGTTCCGGTGAAAACCCAACGCGTACAATTCTCCCCACCGTGAGATAAGTGCGTGCACACGCCTTCCCTCTCCGCTGGACAAAGTACGCATGGGATATAAGAATTCGTTTCACTGCGTCTCGACAATCTGACGACGCGCGCTTATTGCGTCATTGCCCTGGTAATGCTGAAAACACGATAGTTCCCCAGAGATGGGCTTCACCAGCGGTAAGTTATAGATATAAATAGCTTGCAGTTTCAACGCTGGAGGAGATGATTCTTCGTGGCTCAGTGGCTAGCGCCTCACACTCACAAGTAAGAGAGTGGACGTTCAATTTCGCGCTCCGGAATCTTTTTCTGAATCATTTTTTTTTGCATTCCGTTTTCACATCAATAGATACGTTTACAAATACAGTGAATTACGGCTACGCTGACGCCATGCCAGTGGTAAAATCTGGCCGATAGTGTCCATAAAACGGCTATCGCAATAACCATGAAAAAGTCACAGTTTCTCCGCAAGGGCGAAGCACTGAATGCAATAGCACTGAAGCACTGAATGCAACAACTTAGTATGCAACACTGATAACGGCAAGAATATTGAAAGGCGCAGCGTGCTGCTCGCGCTCAAACGACGCATGGAAACAACACACACAGAACGAGAGCTAACAAATGACGTTTACAGCTCGACGCTTAACGCGCTGTTTAAACAAAGACGGCGCACGAAACGTAATAACATGTATATATATGCGTGTAAAAGAAAGAGAGTCCCAGTTGTTTCTTCGCTTTGCTTGGAAAGCACGCTTTTTTCGCAAACGGGGCCTGCCCAGCGAAAGAAGTGACCTTTGTGGCCCAGGCAGCTAACGCGATCGTTCCGGTGAAAAGCCAAGGCACATGATTAACCTTACCGAAAGATAAGTGCGTGCGCACAAGCCCCACGCCCCCGTCGGCGGGGCAAAGTACGCGTGGGAGATAAGCGTGCGTTGGCGCATCGCGACGAGCTGGGTGTCTAGCGTGAGCGGCTCTATTAAGACGTTCTTGAGGTACTTCGTCGCCAAAATTTTGGTGTGTCTGTTCTTATGTTTGTCTGTCTGCTGTAACACTATCCTTAACGGCCCCAAACGATACTACAATATTTCAAACGGCCAAACCCATTCACAGCGCCCACCAATATTGCTCAAGTTTCAGCGTTCATACTTGTGCGATTTTCAATTAAAAACAAATATTGCGTGGATTTAGGCACCATAACAAGACATCAATATTTCCTTTGTTTGTCTTTACACTAGAGAAGGCATACATACATAAGTAATTCTAAGGACCGTAGAGTTTATCACGCTTCGCTGACAATGCAACGCGATGCTCAAAAAGGCAAGTGTTTCCAACGTTTTGCTTAGACGACAGGGTGATGGCACCTGCCCGCCACTTTGCGTTCTACACCTTATCGCCGTTGAAAAGGCGTGCACGCCTCCCTGCGTTTTCCGAAATAACTACCAGATAGTGTTCGTGTCTAACGTGCCTCGATGCGCTGGTTCGCAATGCGTTGCACGAATCGAGACTCTCTAACGCAGCGCCTCCTTACTACAATTCACCAATTTTCTCGTGCAGAACATAAAATAAACGTTTTTTTTTTCACTTTCCCAAGACGCGAGACTATCGTGTTACTACGACATTTGCAGTCAAACATGCAGGTACAGGGCCAATGTTTTTTATTTTATTTCTGCGGTTTTCACACACACACACACACACACACAGACACACACACACACACATATATATATATATATATATATATATATATATATATATATATATATATATATATATATATATATATATATATATATATATATATATATATATAGGTACGTTGCATGATGGTGGCGCGGGCGGGGACAACAAAAACCAGTCGAGACTGTTCATATGTTTGTTATTGCAATAAAGGACTCCGGTGGGTGGAATCGGACGTCCAACCTGTTGCTTGTGAGTGCGACGCGTAAGCCACTGAGCCACGAAAGAGCATCTCGTTCAACACAGAAACGGCAAGCCATATATAGACCATTATCATCAGTGGCGAATAAGCGCTGCCACTTTTGAACACGTGATTATTGGCCTCCTTTCCACTTCCGATTCAGCGACGCCATTGGCCAGCCGATTCGGCGCCGCCACCACTTCCGGGGAGGCCAGCAAATCGGGCGGAACGGTTTATGTCTTCATGTCTCCGTCACATTTTTGGCACCCGACCACAGCACAAACTTTTCTTTTACGATATGACGATAGTTATAGCGCGAGAACAAAACGACGACACAGAGACAAGAAGGACACGAAAGACACAAGCGTGTCTTTCGTGTCCTTCCTCTCTCTGTGTCGTCGTTTTGTTCTCGCGCTATAACTGTCGTCATGCATACCAACTTTCCCAAGCTGCCACACTGCTAGGTCACTTTTCTTTTACGTCTCACCATTGTTCAGCTTACTCTGACATTGTCACCCGGAAGCGCAACTGGCTCGGCAAACTGCTAACGAGGCATATTTTTTTGCAATGCTCAACCACGCCCGCACACGTGCCGCCCGCTTCTCGTCCTAGGCTGGTGGTGGTGGTGGTAGTGGTTCGAAAGGAGGAAGAAAAGCACCTAATTTCTGGCAGCAATAAGGCGACACAGCGCAGCTCTTTAGGCTGCAAGGCAACGGCCGCCACATGCCACATCATGGCCGTGCCGCCGAGAAGGCCTTGGTGCTTCGGTGTGGTGGCGCCATCTAGATTTGCTTAGAAAACCAGCGGCGGAAAAGCGTCTATATCTACCAC